GTTTGTATGGATTTAGATAAATTAACCTTGCTTCCTTATGGTCCAAGCTTCGTCCCTTTTGCATTAATAGATGAATCGGGATTGTTTCATTTGAATGTGACTTTGCAGTTGTCAATTTTCTTGCAACAATCTAGTTGATCTTCAGCACTCAAGTAGTATGTTATATTAACAACTGCACAATTGCCTTTCTTTAAGCATAAAGTTTGAAATACCACGTGCATTATCATTGTTGCAGCTTTTACATTTTGCTGACAACAGGATTCTTCATGTCACTGTGCTTAGGGATGCGTGCGTGTAGTTGGTAAGATACCTTTTACTTATTTAAAAATCTGCCTCATCTTGACTTTAAGCCGCCTAATTGCCGTTTGCCGATTTGCATTGTTCGTTGGTCAACCTACTACCAAAATTTTTGGTCTGTGGTAGTTCAGGAAGAATTATCGAAGTGAACCTACGCGAATTGGGGTTTTTATCAGAAGTGTACTAAACAGCTGGGGCATGTGTTAGTTCCAATGACTTATATAATCCACTCGCTCTGATTCCGTGAGATAGGTTGATTAGCGCAAGCTAGGCAAAGGCTGACCTTTTCTTTTAATGGTGCTTTTCTTTATACCTCTCTGCCGGTTGCAGTGACCTTGAGCCAGTGAAGCGCCACCCGGACTTTCACTTATTCGCGGCGATGAACCCCTCAACGGATGTGGGCAAGCGGGACCTACCAACGGGGCTGCGTAATCGTTTCACGGAGATACGCGTGTCAGAACTTGATCCGGTGATGTCAACAGTTGATCGAGAGGACTTGGCACTGTTGGTGCGCACCTACCTCCTTGCTCTTGGGCCCTCAGCTGCTCAGATCTCGGCTGTCGTCCAGCTCTACGTCGCTCTCAAAAAATCCGCTGCTGACGGTCTTGTCGATGGCGTAGGACAACGGCCTTGTTTCAGGTTCATGAACTCCTTAACTTCTTGGAGGGTTTTAGTCCTAAAGGGTGTTATTAACTTCTTTTTAGATTTCTTATCTGTCACACATCCTTTCACCACCTTAACTGCCAATTTTGTACGTCATCCTTTAGACATATTCATCTCTGCAGTTTCATTGCCATTTGTAATGTTCTAACTCTATTTGCGACAACCATTTTAACAGATTTTGCTTTATTATTTATAGTTTGCGGACGCTCTGTCGTGCTTTGACCGAGGCATCTCGGGGCTATCATGGAAGCCTTTTGCGTTCGCTCTATGAGGTATGCTTATCCGTTTGAAGCTTTTGTGCTTTCATAACTATCGACACTAGAACTGGGGGTTTCTGTAGCCTGCATCTCGAGAACAATATTTCTAGGTTTTTATTCTCAATTGGTTGTCGTAGGCTATTTCAAAGTTAGTCATCCATAACTTGATCAGGCGCTTCGGTTCCAAAATCCGTCCTGGTTGGGACTTGCCGTTTTATGACTATTATTGGTTTGTAAACATCGGAAAGCAACTACTTCTATATTCTGGTGGGGGGTAAAGTTTTCGTTGATCCCCACCTACAGTTTAGGCGATCCGTGACTGCTTTAGAAGATCATCTTACGATTGAACGACTAGTGTTTCGTAACGATTTGATACTGGTGAC